ATAAAAAAAGTTGATTAATGATCATCACTATATGACCTGCACTATGTTTGTAATAATACTTGCGTTTGACACCCTAATGTGTGATCGTACTGGTCCGGCGCGGCACTGCGTGCTGCGCAGCTATCTTATTAGCTATATAAACAAGTACTGAATACAAAAAAACAGTCGAATAAAAAACGATCAAGGTAATTTAGTTTTGGAAAAAACTTTTACAAGTTTATTGCATTTAAATTTAAAACATTTCTTTTAATCACTTTAATACTTATACTGTATTACTTTAATATTATGCAGAACTTTATTAACATTAATGGAGAATAGTATATAAGTTTCGCCTGCCTTATGTAATCGTCTGATTTGATCAGTCAATGATTATATTTTGATCGACATAATTTATTCTGGAGTAGGAGAGCAAACTAAAGTGGTAGGTGTGCATGTTGTAATAGTTGTGGTGTCATAATTACTGCAATCGGACGGAAAGTGTGTGGGAGCAGGACAAGTCACTGATGTGGTTGTATCGGTTAAGCAGTTTATTGCTTGAGTGAATGTTGGACCGAATGTTTGGATAACACATAAAGTAGTGGTTTGAGGAGCGCAAACTTCAGTAGTAGGTATGCAAGTTGTAATAGTTGTGGTTTGTCCACATTTACCACAATCAGATGGAACTTGTGTGGGACTGGGACAAAGCAATGATGTGGGCTGCTGAGTCAAGCAGTCTATGGTATATGTGAAGGTTGGACCAGATTTTTTGACAACGCATGTTTGGGTAGGTTGAGTATGTTGAGGATGAGGATGAGGATGAGGATGTCGCGCCTCGATAGTTACAAAAAAAAGAATGACGGAAAAAAGAAACAAATTAAATAAATGTCTATTCATGAATGAGTATGTATTCATAGTTAGACTATCGATTAAATTTGAAAGAATTAAACCCATTTTTTATTCATGAAATGTACTTCATTTTATACAAGATATTCGTGATACAAGTACGTACGTACGTACCAGGAACGGAATGTAACGGTATTACAGAAATATGTAATGTATAAACCAACATGTAAGTATTCTATACCATTGTTTGTGAAGATGTAAACTAAGAAAATTTACGAGAGTATGTATAATACTGTAATTAGCAAAACTTATAAAATTTATATTTTATAAGTTATCCTTTTTTAAATCTTTTTAATAGATTTTCAAGTTAAAGTTAGTAGAGTTTATAGGTAAAATCTCTTGAATTTCTTTTACAAACTATAAATACAGCCTCAATTTCTACTATACGTACTTTATTAACTATACATTACATATTTGCTATATATTCAAATGTAATGAAGTGTATAGTTATACGATGTATTAAGCGTTTCTGTACAGATTCATGGATGTTTCTTTTTACATGCATCATATAATTGATTATAATGTATTTTAGCGATGCACTTTTCTACCTCGTTGTAACGTAATGATCGGCTGAGAAATTCTGTCCATAATTCTGTCCATTATAATGAATATCCTCTATAGCGCTATATAGTATAATAATGAAAATTTTATTTTGTTCTAGAGAATTACTCCGTTATAACGAGGTATCCGTCATAACGGAGTCCGTTATGAGGGTAGACTGTATAATATTTTGAGAGATCAAATATTAACTTATACATGCGTAACTCTAAATTCTAGGAATTGAACGTTTAGTTTGTCATCCAAATGTAGCAGCAATATAATATACAATCATTAAGATAATATATCGATATGTAACACGCACATCAAAATTTATAAAAAAAATTCAAGCGTATGCAGTTTTATGCCTTTGACGTACATTACATGTTATCAATTTTAGGCAGTCATTGATCAGTTAATATGTATCATATAAAAGAAAATAGGGGTCTGATTAACTTTACCAATAAGTTTATGTTTAAGAATAGCTATTCTAGATTTGATTGACGCACAGCAAAAAGTAAATATTTGACTTACAAGTTTCACCGTGCGTCATGTTTCTAATTTTATCTGAAATATTCATAATGTCATCTTTTAATTCTTGGATAGTATATATTTTAATATTGTTGCATCTGATCTAAAGTAGCTGCCTTTAGATATTACCTTTAGATATTTAAAGTAACTATTTAGATATTTAAAATAGCTATTTCAGATGAGCAGCTACTTTAGTTATCTGAAGTAGCTATTTTAGATATCTAAATTAGCTATTTTAATAAGATTCGCTATTTATTACCATGATACTTACAAACTATATCTCAAAAATGGGACTAAGAAACAGGGATCAGGTATACTAAATAAAAATGTTTGGAACCCCTAAAAACATTGTGTAATCTAAAATTTGGGCTAACCTCTTTCTTGGTCTTAAAATATACCCTACACTAAATTTTATTAATAAAAACTTATAACTGGTAGTACAGTCAGACTCTCTAAGTGCATCCTCTATAAGTGCACATCCTCTCTAAGTGCACCCCCTATAACTATACATGGGTGCCTAAATTGCCCATCTTAATAAAAAGGTAATTACGGCATTTAGGCAGCCGAAATTAGTCTTATA